ATGCATCTGTGCTGTTTTAATTATAGTGGTAATCTTGCATCTGCAGTTCCTACTATCTCTGAAAGGAAATCAAGACTTCATTTGAAAATATGGTCAACTCATTTAAATTAACATGACTTCTGAAATATATTTGAAATCTGTTTTTAAAAATAATTGAAGAATATGGTTTACTTAAATATGCTAATACAGTGTAAATTGTTCCAAAGTAGTAATATGCATCTGTGCTGTTTTAATTATAGTGGTAATATCGCTTACCTAATCTTTGTTGTTCACGGATGTGTACTACTTGTACTCGTGCAGAAGCTCCGTGATAAGGCATTCCAGTTTATGTTATGGCTTTATTTTTAAACAGTAATCTGACTCTGTCGTCTTCATTGATCTCAGAATAATATTCAAAGAAATTTTAACTGGCTTGTGAATTCTGCCATGATTCCATTCAGTTTTAATATTTTCTCCCTTTATTAGATAAACGAAGTGGAAACACTGTACAATATTGGTTACTGCTCGATCGAATATTGCAGCAGATAGTTTTACAGAATGATAAAGGACATGACCCAGATGTTACTCCTCTGGAAAATTTCAATGTGAAGAATGTTGTTAGAATGTAAGTTTTTCCCTGTAATTTTCTTTATCTTTAAAATGGTCATATTAGGCACTTTAATTTTGAAGACTGTTCAATTCTCATTGTGTTAAACCTTATTATGACCATTTTTAATCAATGTTCAACATAAATAGGTTGGTTAATGAAAATGAAGTCAAACAATGGAAGGAACAGGCTGAAAAAATGCGAAAAGGTGTGTTCATTATTTTATTCACTTTAGTTTCATGTTTTTAACTTTGCTCTAACATGTATCTTTCAGCCATTGAAATGGTGCTGCTTTAAAATTGCAATTCTATTATCCACTGCCACTCTAAATTTTTTGTTTTCTCTTGAAACTACTGATTAATATGCTGTTTTGTAGGAGTCAGTACCTTTCCAATTACTCTTCAGACTAGTAATTCCTCATGTGTAAAGTTAGGACGATATAGCAACCCTGATGACGATACTGTATTTATTTGACTTCTGGAAGATCCATAGCAAACGTGAAGAGGACCCCAAGTGACATTTCTACTCTTGTCAATATCTTAAAGTTGATGATCATAAATGTAGCCCTCCTGAAATATGTTGTTTTGAGCTAGCTAGAACTAAATTGAACTTAGGGTTGAATCTGGGATCTTCTGTGTGGGCATTCTTCAAGTTTTGCAGTGTTATTTTTGGCTTGAGGGAAAACACAGCAAATGTTATTTCAATAAAATCCAATTAACTGAAGCAATTGTTTTACAGATGCTTTATTTTCCACATGCACCCCCAACCCTAATAAGGAATCTGAAAAAGATCTCTTTGATTACAGAGCATAATGAGTTACAGCAAAAACTGGAGAAAAAAGAGCGGGAATGTGAAGCTAAGACACAAGAAAAGGAGGAGATGATGCAAACACTGAATAAAATGAAAGAGAAACTGGAGAGAGAATCTCAGGAGCACAAAGCTGCTAAGAAACAAGCGGCTGATCTGATGGCCCAGGTCCAAGATCTAAGCAATGCAAGTTTCTCTTAATAACTGAGGCTGCTTTACTACTTTTTAAATGTAAAAAGTGCAATGTTCAAATTTTTATAAAGAAAAAAACCAGTTAATTGTTACAAACAGTTGAAAAGCTGTATATTTTACTTTTTACCTTAATGATAAGATGTTAAACATAAGTACGTTGGTATGTTGTTTTCCAAGGAACGGTCTGGAGTTGATCTAGTTAAAATGTGGTTGCTCATTGCCTAATATCTTTTATGCAATTTTGCTTCAATTTTAGAGAGCAAGATATTCTGGAGTTCCTGGCGGGCCCCTTTTGACACATGGAGCCCCTGGTGGTCCAATACCACTACCTGCACTTCCTTCAGTAGGTGATCATCCTGTACCACCAGCAGCACCACCACTGCCATTGGGTGGATTGCTGCCAAAGCCACCACCCCTACCCCCAGGTGGACCCCCTCCCGCTCCAAGTTTGCCGTTATCAGGTGGTGTGCCACCACCACCTGGAGCACCTTTGGGTCTAGGACTCAAGAAGAAAAATATTCCCCAACCAGGAAATCCTTTAAAATCCTTCAACTGGTCCAAGTTACCAGAGGTTAGTTATACTTGATTCATATAGTAAGAAAGATATCATTTTTGGTTTAAATAATCTTGTCCTAACAAAAATTGTAATGTTTTTATTTGTACTAATTGAATGCACTTCAATTTTACTGAATTATTTTTGCAATTAATCTTTCTAGAAATGTATCCTTTTTTAAAAGAATAACTCTTTATGGTATGTTTTAAATATGTTTGCAATTACATGATCTATATTCTATAACAAATTGAAAAAATGCTATAAGAAACAGCACATTAATTCATTTAATGTTTGCTCTAATTTTTGCAAAAATGAGTTTTGTTTTTGTTACTATTAATAGAACAAACTTGAGGAAACAATCTGGATGGACATTAATGATTTGAATGTTTTCAAAGTACTTGACTTGGAAGACATAGAAAAGACTTTTTCAGCTTACCAAAGGCAACAGGTAACTTGAATTAAGTTCCTGCTTCCAACACGTGGAATTAATACATGCATAAAAGGTTGCCCATAAAACCATGCATTGATCAGATCAATTACGAAGAAATGATTTTTTGCTCAGCAAATTGGATAACTTTATACAAAATGTGTAGTTTAGTTTTTTAGCATTGCATTCCTTGTTTACCAGTTATGGTAATCTGATCACTGTAGTGATAGATGGACTGGTTAATCAGCATATTTCCAACAGTTATGCAGCATGTTGAGAAATGTAGTGTGATCACCAACGTGATCTAAATTGTTTAGAACTCAGTCTGTACATCAATATGTAACTTATTCAGTTAGTATGAGCACTTCCCATTCAGTACAGAAGGCAAACAGGAGATTAAACAGAATTGAGATTTACTCCTGTTCTGTGTTCAGTAGAGGTTAAAACATTGATTCTGGCTGTTGCACATAGACTATTGATGAGTAGTTAGTAAAAGATGCTCAGCAATGAGTTACAGTTAAGCTAATTCTTTTTATTCTTATTTGGTCTATTCTTACACTATAGTTAAAAAAGAAAGTGTGTTTTGCTTCAAGCCTGGTGATCTGTCCATTCGAATTACATCCAGAGCACAATGCCTTACATTTGCCTTTAAAAATAAACAAAAGTTGAGGTCTGGGCCATCTTGTTAAAATATTTTCAGGGGGTGTGGTCTGGTCCATAACATAGCTTGTTGCGTTATTATTATGAAGCATTAGTGCTTGATTGCCTAACAAGTTCAGATGTTCCAACCCTTTTGGAGCGTATGCATCTTGACAAGCTTTAGTAACACTTTACAAAATTAGCATTAGTTCGCACATTGTTGAAGTTATCTCTAGGATTGTTGAAATATTGTATCCATTTTGACACTGAACAGTGTGTGTTTGGAATATATAATTTGATATTGTCCAGATTCTGATAAACTGGCACTCATTATAACTTCTTCTATGCCTGAGCTTCCTTTATAATGGTGAAAGGGTTAACTTTGGCAAATGGCATTCTTGCATGATGTGCAAAAACTTCCAATCACAGTCTGAAAATGCTTTATCTACTTTGTGCTGTAACTGTTATTTTCCATTTTGCAACAATCGCTGAACTGCAGTTTGTTTTTTATTGCTATTAACTGATGCTACCTGTTATCCTCCTTTTTTGCTTTTGGCCTGCATTTAGGACTTCTTTCTGAGCAATCATTCCAAACAGGTAAGCATGTGCTTTGATAAAGCAAAAGGGATCCACTTGTAGTATAAATTAGTGTGAGGTTTATAATGGTGAAGATACACACTCAAGTTAGTTTCAGTTTTGAGTAGATGTTGATTTTAGTGAGTATGCTAACCTGCACGTTTGCAGCGTGACTGGCAAGTCACTTAATGCAATATTTTGTGAAAACATTGCAAAGTGAAAACATTGCAAAGGTATAAATTTAGACTCTAACAACATGTAAACATTGTTACTAATGGAACCTGATTTTTGAAGAATTTGGGGAAGTAGAATATTATACAGATTAATTTTAACCTACCAAAAGTCGGAAGTAAAGGCTTAAACAGTAACAGGTTGCACCATGATTTATTATAATAAACTTACACAAATTGAAATAAAAAGATCTTTGCTTAACTTCAGGACTCAAATTGCAAACACATTTCACTTGCACCTAAATTTTAAGGACATGAATTGTTAATGTTCCATATTTTAGTTCATGCAACAAGCTATTGATCATATAGTATTTTTATTTGCTCAAATGGGACTAACATTTTAAATGATGCATGATTTCCTAACGTTAGTTAGTGTCTGTCCTGCATTGATTACAGAATACTACATTAATCCTCAGGCTATACAGACTACCAATGATTGAGAGAATTTGGACATTGTTTAGAAAAAGCTTATGTATGTTGCATGCATCAAAGATTCATAGATGTGGATCTTCCTGCATTTGCTATTTTATCATCTTAGTAATTGTGTCTCAGCCTTAATGTTGTTGCTGAACAATGCAAGGCACCTCTCTAAAGGCTGTCCCTGACCTCATCCAGTGTGTGCATCCTTGCACACTACTAGGCAGTAGATAGAAATCACAATCCTAGATTACTAACTGATATCTTCCTCCTCCTCAGAGATTTAAAGCTAATTGTTCCAATTAAAATCTACCAGTTTGACAAAGATTATTCAAAGCCTTTGTGGTCTATATAGTTGATTTTTGAATTGGGTAGTTTCTAACAGAATCATTTGAGTAGAATTATGTCAAAAATCTTGCCAAATTGAAAGTTTTGGGCTGTCCAAATAGATAGTTGTCTGAAAATAGTTTAACGTTAAAAACTGAACAGTATTATTCAGATGAGACCTGAAATTGAACATGCGTTTTGCTTCGAATTTGGCAGTGCAATCACACCAACTTGCCCCGCATTCAAAAAGCTGGACAAACTGTAGTTCAACAACTCTTTGGAGAAGGTCCGGATATAAATATTAAGAAATGTTTTTGGCCAAACTTTACAGAAGTTGGCTTCAGTTTCTCTCCATGCTGAAAGCAGCAGCTTAGTTGTTGCTCATCTACAATCCAAAATTTGTCAAGCTGAGGGAATATTATGTGACGCTTTCAGAAGTTCATTTATAAAGATGTCTATTTATTTGGGCGGCACAGTGGCTAGACGTGGCCTCGCGGTACCAGGGACCCAGGTTCGATTCTAGCCATGGGTGACAATCTATGTGGAGTTTGCATGTTCTCACTGTGTCTGTGTGGGTTTCCTCCCACGGTCCAAAGATGTGCAGGTTAGGTGGATTGGCCATAGCAAATTGCCCTGTTGTGGCTGGGAATGTGTAGGTTTTGTGAGTTAGTCATGGTGAATGTGGGATTATGGGGAAAGGGTTTGGGTGGGATGCTCTTTGGAATAATGATGCAGACTTGATGGGCTGAATGGCCTGTTTACGCACTGTAGAGATTCAGTGATTCTTACTATCATCAAATTTAGTTTGATACCTTAATTAACATTTTACCCAGACCAGAGAGAACTTGTTATGAAACAGATTGAGTGCTTTCTTTTGTACATTTCTATTTATATCATCTGTTATTCCTTGACACATTTAGTGCAAAGGTCTAAAGTAGGTAATGAAGCCATTGAGCATGCATTCGTAAATGGGGCTGTCTTTTACAATGTGATAACTAAATCCACATGTAGAGCTGATCATACTTGGGAATATTTTTAACTATGCATTTTTTATTTTAACCCTCAAAGCTTTTATAGAGATGATCCAAATGCTTGGAAATTGTTATAAACGTGCGATGACTATAGCCCCACGAATAGAATTTGCCTATATGGTTAAGACTTCTGTGGTATATTCAACTTATTTACGATTGTAATATTTTCTTGGCCCACAGAAAGAGACAGATGCCAATGAAGATGCATTTAATTCCACGAAGAAAGTCAAAGAACTATCAGTAATTGATGGGCGAAGAGCCCAGAATTGCAACATTCTTCTGTCCAGGTAATTGTTTTATATTAGAAGAAAACATGGCATTATTTACAAATTCAATTTTCTGGCTTGCACTTCATTTTAAATTCTTAAAATAGTTATGAGGTGTTGTTGAGACTGTGTACTTATTTATTCAAACATGAAGAAACTGAAGTTACAAGCATACCATGGCCATAAGTACAGCCTAGAACTATTGAGAATATGTCAGGCAACTCTTAGTATCAATATGAATGTTGGAATAGGCAACTTGGTGAGTTGGGATTTTTGAGTTGGCATATCAGTGTTCCTGATTCTATGCATTAACTCCATCATAAATTATTAACACCAGCTGCACTTGCATTGCTGCCTCTGACGCACTTGGTGGTGGGAGGGATAGAATTACTACAGATGGAGAGAGAAGACGGGAGGAAAAAATGGAAGAACAAAAAAGAAAGAGAACTGGTGAGCAGAGTGGAGCTCCAAATGAAGTGACTTTCCCTGCAGCCATCTTGCTGGATCTTCAAAGCTAGCTCTATATTGCACTTGCAAACACAAATCTGTTGATGCTTGGCATTATTTTCATATATTTTCATTATTTTCATTATTTTCATGGCATTATAGTGCAATAAAGAGGTTCGTTAGTAGTGTGTGGGTGTAAACATTTCAGTACACAAGAACACAAGAACTAGGAGCAGGAGTAGGCCGTCTGGCCCTTCGAGCCTGCTCCGCCATTCAATAAGATCATGGCTGATCCTTTCGTGGACTCGGATCCACTTACCCGCGTTCTCACCGTATCCCTTAATTCCTTTATTGTTCAAAAAAAATCTACCTTTTTTTAAAAAGCGTTTACTGAAGTAGCGTCAACTACTTCACTGGGCAAGGAATTCCATAGATACAACAACTGTAATTTGAGCATTTAATCGGCTTTATAGCGCTTTGAGATGTTCTGAGTTTGTGAAAGGCACAACGTAAATCTAAGGTGTTTCTTTTCCTTTAATCATAGTTTTCCAACTATAATTGTAATCTATTGATGCCTACAGTCCATGAATAACAGTCACAATTTAATTTAAGAATATACAGGGCCAGATTTTCTGAGGAGTAATAATCTCCTGCAGATTACCACTGTGCCCTTTTTTTTTAACTAAAGGAGGGGTCTGCAGTTCTGACTTGATTTATTACTGTTTTGTGTACTGAGATACGGTGAAAAGTGTTGTTTTGCATGCTGACCAGACAAATCCTATCTTGTATAAGTACATCAGATGATAGAACAGAATGCAGAATATAGTGTTACAGCTACAGGAGAAGGTACAGAGAAAGATCAACTCTAACATGAGAGATCCATTCATAAGTCTGATGACAGCAGGCAAGAAGCTGTTCTTAAATCTGTTGGTACGTGTTTTCAAACCTTAATCTTCTACCAGATGGAAGAGGGCAAAAGAGTGTATAACCAGGGAGAGAAGTGTAGACTGAGTCAATGGATGGAAGGCAGGCTTTGGTGATGGACTGGGATGCATTCACAACTCTAATTTTTTGCGATCTTGGGCAGAGTAGTTGCCATACTAAGCTGTGATGCAGCTGGATAGGATGCTTTCTGTGGTGCAAGTATAAAAATTGGTAAGAGTCATTGTGGATATGCTGAATTTCTTTAGCTTTCTGAGGAAGCAGAGGCATTGGTTTGCCGCCTTGATTGTAGTGTAGATTAGTGATATTTATTCCTAGGAGCTCGAGGCTCTCACCCACCTCTAACTCAGCACCATTGATACAGACAGGGGCATGTCCTCCATTCCACTTCCTGAAGACAATGACCACCTCCTTTGTTTTGCAGATATTGAGGGAGAGACTGTTGTCTTTACACCATGCCACTAAGCTGTCTATCTGTGTCCTGCACTTGGTCTCATCATTGTTTGAGATCCGACCCACTACGGTAGTGTCACCAGCAAATTTGTAAATGAATTTAGAGCTAAATTTAGCCAAACAGTTGAGTGAATAAGGTGTACAGTAAGGGGCTGAGTACGCAGCCTTGCGGGACACAGGTGTTGAGGAATATTGTGGGGGTGGTGTTGTGGGGGTGGTGTTGTCGCCTGTCCTTAGTAATTGCGGTCTGTGGATCAGGAAGTCGAGGATCCAGTTGCAGAGGGGTGCGCAGAGTCCTTGGTATTGGAGTTTGGTGGGAATTATGGTATTGAGGGCAGGGTTGAAGTAAAATGGGAGTTGATCTAGATATCTTTGCTATCCAGATGTTCCAGGGATGAGAGTAGGGCCAGGGAGATAGGTCCATGGTAGGTGAATTGTAGAAGGTGAAGGCAATTTGGAAAGCTAAAGCTGATGTGTGCCATTACTAACCTCTCAAAGCAATCCGTAATGATGGATGTCACAGCCACCAGGCACGTTGCTTGATTTTTCTTTGGCACCAGGGTGATAGTGGTCTTCTTGAAGCAGGTGGGTGAACCTTGCATCATAGTAAGGAGAGATTAAAGATGTTTGCAAAGACTCCCACCAGCTGGTCCGTGCAGGATCTGAGTGGATGGCCGGGTACTCCATCCGGATCAGTCGTCTTCCGTGGGTTCACTAGCAAGAAGGCCAATCTGACATCTATGGTGATGACTGTGGGTATTGATACACATGAGGCTATGACAACAGGTGACATCATTTCACTGATCTCCTTTTCAAAATGAGCATAGAATACATTGAGCTCATCAGGGGGGGATGCATTGTTGTCAGCAATCCATTTGACTTTGCTCTGTGGCTCTTTATATCATGTAAGCCTTGCCAAAGTTGCTGTGTGTTCATGTGGTTAGTCTAGGACTTTAGTCTGATATTGTCTATTGGCATCCCTGATTTGCTTTATGAAGGTGTACCTAGTATTCCTGTTTCTATCAGTGTTATCTGACTTGAACGTCACATTCCCTGCTGAGGTTCAGGTCTGAATCTTCCGGTTCATCCAGGACTTCTGGTTGGGGAACACTCAGTTTAACTTCTTTTGAAGGTGGTTCTATACGCATTACTAATGAAATCTCTGACAGTAGTGGCATACTCATTTACTTTGGCCGTTGAGTTCTTGAATATGGACAAGTCCACTGACTCCAAGCAGTCACAAAGGAGCTTGTCCAATACCACAGACCAGCACTGTATGACTTTCTATACCAGATCCTCACTCTTCAGTTTCTGCTTGTAAGCTGGGAGAAAGAACAAAGCGTTGTGATCTGATTTACCAAAACATGGGGGGGAATTGAGAAGCAGGCATCTTTGTTTGTGTAGCAATGGTCTAGGTTGTTTGGGCCTCCGGTGGACAGGCGACATGTTAGTGTTATCTTGGTAGCACACTCTTGAAGTTGGCTGGGTTGAAGTCATCTGAAGTTGAAATTCTGAGATGAGATGAGATTCCCGTCAGGGCTCCTTCAGAAATGTGGAGCCGTTCTTCCTTTCTGACAGTTCTTTCATAGCACAGAACTGTTGGGGAAAGGCAAACCATGTCCCCATTTCATAGCAGCTGGTTGCAATATTCTGAGATATGAAGGTCCAGAATCGATGATTTTAACAGCTGTTGTCCCATCAACTCCTATCTATGCTGGAATAACGATGGTTAGGTCATTGGGAAATCTGGACCATTGTTGTGTAGTAATGTACTAGGGTTTTATGTTGGTTTAAAATTAAACTTGTATTCTCTCAAGTTTTGGCAGTTGGCAAGAGAAACCTGAGAGGATACTAGTTGAGGTTTTACTAATTCTTGGGATGTGAGCAGCACTGGCAAGGTTGTCATTTATTGCTCCAGAGTTGGTATTTTCAGCTGTTTTCTTGAACTGCTGCAGTACATGTGGTGTAGCTAACTCACAATGTTGTGAGGAAGGGAGTGCCAGGATTTTTGAAAATTGGGATATGGATGTCGCTGTCTAGACTAGCATTTAATGCTGATCTCCTCAAATTGCATTTGAACTGAGCGACAGAGTCGGTCACGTTGCTGCAGGTCTGAGTTGTATGTGGACCAGACAAGGGAAGGATGGCAGATTTCCAAAAGGACATGAATGAACCAGATTGGTTTTATGACAATTGCCTTGTCAATAACCAACTGTATGGTTACATAGTTGCAGTTTTGTTTCTATTTTTATTGAATTCAAATTCAATAAATTTGGGGGATTTGAATCAATTTCCCTAGTACGTCAGCCTGGGGTTATGGATTACTCGCCCAGCAACATTTTCCATATGCCACTGCATTCCCATTTTAACTTCACGGAAAAGTATATATGTCAGTCTGTTTAGATTTAAACTGTTTTCTCATTGTTTTTAGTAATGAACGTGCCATTTAGATAAATGTATTTCAACAAAATTACAGTAACTCTGGTAACACGTTTCAAATTTTAACTGGAATATACCGTCTGGTGACATCATTGAAACAGTATACGAAATAAACCTCTTACTTTCTTTTGAATAAATCTAAGCTAAATAAAGATCGACTGTTTTCTTGCTTCACCATCTGGCCATCAGGCATATAACACTGATTAACTGAGATTGACAATGTTATGAAGGTAAAGTGTGTATTATTTTAAGATGCCATGAATATATAGTTAAATTCTCATCTTACAACACCAAAATTATGCACAGACTTGTTCAGTCTTAGACTGTTGCTGAGGGTAGTGATTAAATTGATTACTTGGAAATGTTGTCAAAAATGTGGACTGAGAATGAAGGATTCCTTCTTCTAAATATTTAATTGGAGGAGATTTCTGGTAGTCTAGTATAGGGTATTGATAAAGCAGTCTGATAACTTAGTAGAAGTGGAGGAATTGAGAGATGGCAGTTCGGTAGTGTGGAATGTTAGAATAATATTAGCATGGAAACAGACCCTTTGGACCAACTCATGCGTGCCGACCAAAGTCCCATTTGCCAGCGTTTGACCCATGTACCTCTAGACCCTTCCTATTCTGTTGTCAGCATTGTGAAAGAAACCATCTTATTTATTTTCGTTTTTAACATTTTAACTTGCGTTTTAAGTTTGGGTTTTGAATTTTGAGTCAGTAACATTATTGGTTCTCTGAGTCTGAAGTTGAGAATTAACTTTTAAGTATTTCTGCAGCTATAGTGATTTATTTTGTAACAGTTTGTAAAGGCTATTTTGGCAGCTTAATGGCTTTTTGTTTACTTCAGGATTTTACAACTTAGGGTAAGCTATTGTATGTCGAGACTTCTGTTTGAAATTTCTGGACTGGGAGTTTTTTCAAGCTTGAGAGAAATGCCCATACAGGGAGAGACTTTCTTGTTTCAGTTTGTTGTTTTTGAACAATTCTGTGAGATTCTTAGATATAAATATATAAAGGGGGAGAATATAGTAAACGAGATTGCATTAGAGTAAGGAATTAATGGCAATTCCAGGCTGGAACTGTTGAGATAAAACCCTAAAGAGGAATTGAAGGCTGTTTGTTTCATCTTAAATGTATGGTAACTCCAGGAATAAGCTATTGGAGGTTGCAGTCGAGGAGTCAAAGTTACAGTTAGTTTCTCCAGAGTACCCTTTTAAGAGTACTATAGAGAAAGAGATTGTAATGTGAGTACTGTACAAGGGTTGCTGTTGGATCCTCTGCTAGGAATGTTGACTTGTTTTTGAAACTTGTTTTGCAACCAGTGGGACTACGCTTTTACTGCGTGTTTAAAACTTTGTGCTGTAAGTCAATGGATTGGTTATTTTCTTTTGCTTAATAAACTTCTATTTTATTGTTAAGACATAACTGCAACATTGCATGCTTCAGTTGCAATGAGAGAGTACCATGTTCAAACCAAAACAAAACAATAAGATTTCAGTCTGGAATCTGAGTTGTCCAGTCAAAATATCAGCTGAGAATCATAACAGCATCTATGTAAAAACTCATGCTGTGCTTTTCAATCATACCATCATGGGGAAACAAGTGGATGAATGATAGGAAAGGACCAAGAATACATCATTGAGGGGGATCCCAGTGGTATTGATTTGTGGGTAGGAAGGTAAGCCATTGCGTGTAAAACCCAAAAGAACTGTGGATGTATAAATCAAACAAAACCAGAAATAGCTGGAGTAGCTTGGCAGGTCTGGCAGTACCTGTGAAGAGAAATCAGTCATAAGTCTGGTGATGCTTCCTCACAACTGGTGACCCTTCTGAGGAAGGGTCACTGGATTCAAAACGTTAACTCTGATTTCTCTTCACAGTTGCTGCCAGACCTGCTGAGCTTTTCCAGCAATTTCAGTTTTTTTGTTTCTGAAGCCTTTGCATGTGTTCCTCTGGGGGGTGGCATGGCCAAAAGCTACAGGTAGGTTCAGGAGGACGAGGAAGTCAAGTTTACATTTTGTCCCAGTCTCAGGAAGTTATTTGTGACTTCAAGCCATTTCAAAACTGTTGCAAGATTGGAAACCTGATTGGAAGGATTCAAGTAGAGTTCTTGGAAAAATGGTACTTATTTGGAAGGCACCTACGGAATTTTGGAGAGGAAAGGGAGATTTGTGACTAATTCGCAAGGATGGTCGGCTCATTAATTTTTCTAGGAAGAGGAGTGACTTGTGGGCACAATAAGCTAAAAGTGGGCAGAAGACAGGACTAGAGAGGGGGAATAAAGAATGAGCTCAGGTCAGGGCAGATGGAAGCTTTAAAGAGGGTTTGGCCTTGTGGGCTACTGGAAGGGGTGAATACGGCAGAGGTCGGTCATTTTCATAATGTCAAAGATGTCTGTGAGCTCTTTATACTTACTGTCATAAATTCAGTAAATCAATACATTTTTCTCTTGCTCTGGTTGGAAAAAATAAAACAATGTTTCAGCAGCAGAGTACAACTGAAACTACATGATAAATCTATAACTTGTATGTAATCAAAGGTCACCGTTTTAAAATGTTGCTGTTTTTCAGTGGTTCACACTTCATGCTTTTTGTTACTTTAGCTGAAGCTCATACTTTGGGAATCTGGGTAGCATCAACTCTGTGCCAGTTAACAATTTCACAGTGCGCTTTTGGTGTTGCCCTTGTGCCACTGAAGTGCTATACCAGTATCAAACAAACAACTGAAGGTTCATAGAGCGTACAGTATGGAAACAGATCCCTTGGTCCAATTCGTCAATTCCAACCAATCCAGTCCTATTTGCCAGCGTTTGGCCCATATCCCCCTCAACCCTTCCTATTCATATACCCATCCAGATGCCTTTTAAATGTTGTAACTGTACCAGCCTCTACCACTTCTTCTGGCAGCTCATTCCATACATGCACCACCTTCTACATGAAAAAGTTGCCCCTTGGGTCCCTTTTAAATTTTTCCCCTCTGAGCTTAAACTTATGCCCTTTAGTTTTGGATTCCCCCACCCTGAGGAAAAGACCTTGACTATTCACCCTATCCATGCCCCTCATGATTTTATAAACCTCTATAAGGTCACCCCTCAGCCTCCGATGCTCCTGGGAAATAGCCCCAGTCTTTTCAGCCTCTCCTGATAGCGCAAACCCTGCAACCGTAGCAACATCCTTCTAAATCTTTTCTGAACCCCTTTAAGTTTCACAACATCTTTCCTTGTAGCAGGGAGACCAGAACTGAACGTAGTATTCCAAAAGTGACCTAACCAATGTCATATATAGCCACAACATGACCTCCCAACTCCTATACTCAATGCACTGACCAATAAAGGCAAGCATACCAAATGCCGCCTTCACTATCCTGTCTATGTGGGATTCCACTTTCAAGGAATTATGAACCTGCACTCCAAGGTCTCATTGTTCAGCAACACTCCCCAGGACCTTACCATTAAGTGTATAAGTCTTGCCCTGATTTGCCTTTCTAAAATGCATCACCTTGCATTTATCCTAATTAAATTCCATCTGCCACTCTTCAGCCTATTGGTCCATCTGGTCAAGGTCCTGTTGTACTCTTTGCATTCCACTACACCTCTGATTTTCATGTCATCTGCAAACCTACTAACTATACCTCCCATAATTCACATCCAAATCGTTATATAAATGACAAAAAGCAATAGTCCCAGCACTGATCCTTGTGGCACACTGCTGATCATGGCCAGTCAGGAATAAATAGCTTTGCCACTCGTGTGTATGTTGGAGTGAAGGATGGAAAGGAAGCGGATTATATGGCCAAAGGCAACCATCTATGACTACCTGTTTGATAGGTTTGACTTTGTGATATTGTCAAGCAGTATAGAATTACCCCTAACATTTAGTGTTCGGAATGAGATCCAAACCTCCTTGGAGCTCAGTGATTGTGACACATGAAACTATTGATGAAGGGATGATCTGAATTTAAGTTCCAGATTTGAAAGCGTGACATCTAACAGCACCTGTGGGCAAGTTACATTTCTGGTCGAAATGACTTTTTCACAACCATTCAGATGCTGCCATACCTGCTGAATTCTCCATTATTTTCCATTTTTATTTTAGATTTCCGGCATCTGCAGTACTTTGCTTTTATTTAAATGTATCGTGTTCTACCTGCTGAAGTACAACGGTCTACTCAGTTTCAGTGAAACAACAGACTATACATTTACTGAGCATTCTTCAGTAACTGGCATATGAAAAAGAAATTGTAAAGTAGCTCTGATATCTCCCAACTATTGTCAGTGGTTTTGGCATGAGGACTGTCTCCGTTCCCGCTACAGGGTGTATATATAGTAACTGAGAAGATGTAATTTATGTACCTGTTATCTATTTATCTATTTAGGTTAAAGCTGTCCAATGAGGAGATCAAACGTGCTATTTTGACGATGGATGAGCAAGAGGATCTACCTAAGGACATGCTTGAACAGGTACTATGTTGGTTCTGAAGTATTTTGCGCTGCGATTGTACTTAGTGGGGCTGGGTGCCTGGAGGCTATATCACTTCCGTGGTCATTTATATTTTAGACGTGAAGGGCCGCTACATCTCTCATTGGAAGATGAATCTCTCTTGTGCCACTTTTGAACAGATTTTACTTCCAGCAAAGAGTTTAGCAATGATTACCCCTCTCCTCTAAGGAAATACTATACCTCTACTTCTCTTGCATTTGAGCTAATAATAGGAATCTCAGCCAGAAGGTGTTTGGGCAGATGCAGCTGAGTAAAGGTAAAGTGCATAGTCTGATATGTAAATACTGATTTGACTAGGGTGTGTAGATGATGCTGTATGCGTGAGGGAGGCTTTTTTGTATACTGTGCCGTTATGTTGCCAGTGAGGGGCAACATCAGATTGCCATAACCGGTTCAGATGCATAGACTTTTAAAGATAGCATGGGCCCAGGGATGCTGGTCTTTTGGTGGATAACTGCTGAGTGGTGAGTTTTTCTAGGAATGGAATGTGTTAAAAATGGGGACTGATTTGGATGTGAAGGATGACGTTAGAGATGGTGGATAGTTAATAAGATGTATTGGTAAGATTGTGAGAAATCTTACAGGGCCTTAATGGCAAGAATACCTTCAAAAAAACTTGTCATAGTTCTCTGTAAGAGTCGCCCCATGTCTCTCTATTTATAAGCCTGGAATTGGATTTCCTTTTAACCACACTCCACCTGCCCTGCCATCTTCAACACTGTGCAAATATACCTGTAGGTCTGCAGGCCTGTACACAAATTGGAATTGTGCTTTTTATTTATATTTCCTGTCCTCACTCTTCATACTAACATAATACTTCACACTTCTCTGAATTAACTTTCAATAACATATGATCCCCATTCCGCCAACCTGTCTATGTCCTCTTGAAGTCCATGCCTAATTTCCTCAAAACTTCTGTGTTTTGTAGCATGGGCAGATTTTAAAACTTTGCCCAGCATATCCAAGTCAAAAGTGTGTACCAACACTCAGCAAGACCAGGACTACAAGCAGGCTTAAATAATAAGTGGCAAGTTAAATTTGCATTGCACAATTTCTCAATTCCAGTCTCAAACAAGGGAGAATCTAACCAGCTACCCCTGATGTTTAATGGCAATAGCATTAACTAATAACTTAAACAGATTAATGATTTGAATAGTATGACTACAAGATCAAGTCAGAATGGGAATTCTGCAATGAGTAACTCACCTCCTGTCTTCACAAAGCTTTCTAAGAATCCCCAATACGCAAGTCAGCGCTGTGATGGAATACTCACCACTGGCCTGGACACGTGAAGCTCTGACAACACTCTTAGAATGGATAAGAGCTTAATGAGCTAGTTTGACCGGCCCATCACCTTCTTAAACATTCACCTACTCTCTCACCAGTTCGCAACTTTTGCAATGCAAACCATCTACAAGATGCAATGCACGACGTAGCTAGGTTTCTTTGACAGCACCTCCCAAAGCCACAACTACTTTCATCAGGAAGGGCAACAAATAAGAAATAACAAATAGAAGCATTAAAAAAAAAAGGAGAAAAAGTATACCTTTTCACCCTTTGAGCCGACTCTGCTATTCAACATGATCATTGCTAATCATCCAACTGAGTGTTCCATTTCCACTTTCTCCCCATATATAGAAGATAGTGCTTAGTAACGTTGTAAGCTCCAAGGCCCCAATTAAATATATATTGCCATTTGCTCCTTGTCACAGAGTTAGAATCCTGGGACATCCTACCCAACCACGCTCTGAGAATATTTTCGTCTCGCACTTTTCACAGTTCACAAAAGGAGCTCATTATTGCCAATTAGGAGTAGGCAATGAATAAGTAAATTTGTTCAAATAAGGATGAAAGATAAATTTGCCTGCTATGCCCTTTGCTTTGAATGAACAACAGCAATAATTTGGATTTGTATAGCATAATTAACATAATAGGATTAGCAGGTAATGGACTAAAAACAAAAAGGATAAGTACGAAATGGGAGTTGGTTCACAATTTGAAGATGTTGAACTCTTAATATTAAGTCCAGAAGGTTGTAAAGTGCCTAGTCTGAAGATGAGGTGGTGTTCTTCCTGTTTGTGCTGTGATTCACTGGAGCACTGCAACATGCTGAGGACAGATAAGTGGGCATGCGAGCAGGATGCTGTGTTAAAATGACTGGCTACAGGAGAAGGTCAGGGTCATGCTTGAGCACAGACCGAAGGTGTTCCGCAAAGCATTTACCCACTCTGGTTTCTCCAATCTAGAATAGGCCATATTGGGTGAAGCGAATGCAATAGACCACATTGGAGGAGGTACAAGTGAAAGGCTCTTTCACCTGGAAAGACGGTTTAGGGCTTTTGATGATGAGCAGGGATGAGCTGGAGGGGCAGGTGTTGCACCTTCTGCGGTTACATGGGAAGGGGAGTGCTGGTCATGGAGGAATGGACTAAGATGTCCCAGAGGGAACAGTCCCTGTGAAGCGCAGGCGGTGAGTGAGGGGGGAAGATGTTTTTGGTAGTGACATTCTGCTGGAGTTTCTGAAATGGTGGAGGATGATCTTTTGAATGCAGAGCCTGGTGGGATGAAAAATGAAGGGGGACCCGATCATGCTGTTGAGTGATGGAAGCAGCAAGGGTGATAGGTCAGATGCAGTTGAAGGCTCAGTCAACCACAGTGGGTGAGAAACCACTGTTATCGAAGAAAGAAGCTATGTCAGCAGTGCTGTGAAGCTAAACATGGAGTTAGAGGGCAAAGCTCAAATACTAAAAGAAGTACTTTGTAGTTGCTTTTATCAAGGAAGGTGCTGCTACTAACTACATAGTGGAAGTGGAGGCAGTCAAGAGACTGAAATGACTAAAGATTAGTCAAGCAATGATTCTCTGTACTTAAAAGTTGATATGTCACTAGGACCAGAAGAAGAGCATCTGAGGGTATGATGGAAAGGTTTTGCAGAGGTAGTTAATTAATAATCTTCCAAACCTCCTTGGATAGGAAGTGGTGCCATATGACATGAGAATTGCAAATGTTAGACACTTTTCAAAAAAAGATGAAGAACAAATTGTTTTGCTAAATACAATTTAACCTATTGTGGGAAAGCTTTTCAAAATAATTGGGGGCTAAATTAACAGTCACTCAGACAAATGTGAATTAATTAATGAAAATCGGCATACCTTTATATAAAGCAATATTGCAGAGACTAATTACTATGACTACCTTGATTGTGAATTTTGAGGCAACAAAACGTAGCTGAGGGTAATGCTGAAAGTGCTAATTCTAAAAGTGCCATGGAATATGATCATCAATCAACAGCAATGTTGAAGCCCCTGATATAAACTGGATGTCGGATTAGCAGTCTGATTGAGCAACAGTGGAGTGAGAGGGGAGGTGGTGAGGTAAAACTGTTAACATACCCATAGAAGCTATTGTACTTTTCAGATGATGTCTTGGGGCTAATGAGTTGATCAAGAGTGGGAGGGGCTAAGGATATGCCTTGGAGAACACCTGAGGCAGTGGTTACATGAGTGGTAAGAGGAGTCATGAAGTAGTACAGTACGGAAACAGACCCTTTGATTCAGCTCATCCATACTAACCAGATATCTTAAAATAATTTAGCCCCATTTGCCAGCATTTGGCCCATGTCCCTCAACTCTTCAATATTAAGTATACCTATCTAGATGCCTTTTAAATGTTGTAATTGTGCCAGCCTCCTCCACTTCTTCCGTTGGCAGCTCATTCCATACACACATCACCTTCTGCGTGAAAAAGTTGCCCCTTGGGTTTGTTTTAAGTATTCCTCCTCTCACCGTTTGTCCTCGAGTTTTGGACTCGCCCACCCCAGGGAAAAGACCTTTGCTATTCACCCTGTCCATGACTCTCATGATTTTATAAACCTCTATATAAGGTCACCCCTCAGCCTCTGATGCTCCAGGGAAAATGCCCCAAACTTTCGCTATAGCTCAAACTCTCCAACTCTGGCAACATCCTTAAATCTTTTCTGAACCCTTTCAAGTTTCACACGTTCCTATAGTAGGGAGACTAGAATTGCACATTGGTTATGCCACTTTTGGAATACTATGTACTGTACAGCTGCATCATGACCTCCAAACCTCTATACTCAATGTGTTGACCAATAAAGTCGGAGTCATATAGCATGGAAACAGATTCTTCAGTACAGCTAGTCCACGCTAACCATGTTCCCAAACTAAACTAGTCCCACTTGCCTGTTTGGCCCAAATCTCTCCAAACCTTTCCTATTCATGTACTTATCCAAATGTCTTTTAAATGTTGTAACTGTACCTGCATCCACCACTTCCCCTGGCAATTGATTCAACACATGACCCATGCTGTGTTGTTTTTAAAAAATGTTGGCACCACACTCCCATGTCCTTTGGAAAACTTTGTCCCCCCACACTCTGGCTAATTAGTTAAGTTCATAACTAGAGGGGTGCAGGCCCAATCAGCTGATTGGCTGTTTAAAAAAAAAAAAAAAAAGTTTTGAGGGAGAATAGTGCAGACTAATGTGTCACTGGCCCCAAACAGGTTGTGAATTGGACTAGAGTGGATGGAATATTGGTCAGTGTTGCTTCACTACTGCACTGGGATGTCGATCATAAGTGGAACTTGAACCCTGAACCTTGTGATTCAGGGGCAAGTGTGCTATTACTGAGCCCAGCTTTTGCATTGAAACCTGGCACCTGAAATCCAATGGGTCCAGCCCGTTTCCAGATAATTAGAGTGGCAAGTGCAGACAAATAGTACCCGTTATTATATAGAATGTATGGCACAAATAAGCTATTTAGCCCAGTCGGTCTATGTTGTAAATTCTAGTCCATGTTGGCCTCCACCCACCCTACTTTGATTCAATCCACAGTGGTCAAAAACGCCTTTGACTGTGTCTCTCGCATTTCCCGCAACTCATCCCTCCCTGCAACAACAACCAAAACAGAATCCCCCTCGTCCTCACATACCACCCCACCAA